AAATATGACACTGTGTGATGTATTATTTTGAGGGGACAACACTGTTATACAAGCTGTACTCTTTACATTGCAGCAAAGTGTCATTTCTTCAGTGTTGTCACATGGAAAGATATAATCAACTATTACTTACTTTTGTGAGACTGCATATACATACAAATGTTAACTTAGACACTGGCAACAATACTTAATGCAACAAAACCTAAGCAAAGACAGGCATTTTAGTTTTGTTTCAGTAAATTTATTTGTTCCTCCACCGAGAAATAAATAAATACTTTCTGCCAAATAGCATCCCTTTTCACTCCTCGAGTGACTAGTGCCTGACACTCTGGTTTATTGTAGACATTTGTTCATCCCTCCACATTTGATGTCATTGTGTGTCAAGTGGCAGTATACAAAGAAGGAGTTTCTAAGAGACTCATCCATTCCGTTCTGTCAGGCATTGTCTTGTCACTGGATTTTTCCAAGCTCAAGTTAAACTTGGGGTTTATTTGTCATAGAAAGGGCCAAATAAATCTTAATTCCAATTCCAAATAAACAATCATATTTTATAGAACCAGTCTTGGCTGATCCTGATTCTTGGCTGAGCAGATACATGTGCTATTTTTTTATCAAATGAAGGAATATGTAAAGAATTTGGTTAAATAAATGTAAACAAAATACCCAGTCTGGGGTTCAGGTCCCAGTGCTACGCTGTCATTATAAGGATTTCTTGAATTCTCTCATTCAGTCCCAATGAATAAGCCTAATGTGAGGCCTAATTATCCCAAAACATTCCAAGTCCTCAGAATAATTTTTACACTATTAAACTCTTACTGAATTGCCCGTGGCTCCTCTATGATGCCACCAAGTGTTCACACCAGATTTGTAATGCAACAGTAAAGTTTTCATTATATGGCACAAGCAGATGCTATTGTTTGAACTAGCCTTCTCAGAGAGTGAAGTAAACAAGATTTCCACCTATTGTCAGGTGTAAGTAATAATCAATCAATCCACTGTTTGTTTGTAGATATATTTCAAAGTCTTCAGCAGTGATTATTGCTGTTGGGAGTATCAAAGACCTCGGGGCCCTCGTGTTTGTTGATCTTACAGGTTGAGCCAGCCAATTACAAGGAGCTGAGCAGCCTTGATGTCTAAACACGTCAAAATTGAATAATGTCATGCCTATAACCAGGGCTGACATCAGACAGAGCATATCAGCTGCTTGCCTGTGGGTGGATATGACATCCTCAGGTGGGTGAGAGACTACATTAAGGACAGAGGATGTTAAGAGCTCAGTATTTTCCATCCAATGTCAAGTGATGATAATAAATGAGTCTGAGTCCAATCTGTTTGTTTGTTGACAGGTTTCTTTCACCTAAGAGTTCCTGAGTCTTCTGCAGTGGGATCTGCTGTCGGTAGAATCAAAGCACATGACTTGGACATCGGGAAAAATGCCGAAGTAGAGTACACAATTGTGCCAGGTGATGGAGGAGCCATGTTTGACATCACCACCAATGAACACAACCAAGAGGGGATCATCATTCTCAAAAGGGTATGGAGTCTCAGAAACTAAGACAAAATATTAAACATAAACCAGGAGTTAGCATTAAAAAACAGTATTCCGTGTTGTGGCTAGCACCAACAAATAAAGACAAATAATAAAGTAAAAAAACAAACAAAAAAGACAAGCCCACCTGGTAAATTCAGTAAAATGGCAATTTTACGCTTCGTATAACCCACCAGTACTACACAGTCAAGCGATTATCACAACTTTACCTAGTTGTTGTTGTTTTTTTGTTTTTTTACATGAATACCTGTTTCATCCATTTATTAATTGCAGTTGTTCCACTTTTCCATTTTCCTGATTGATGTTAAGTTGCCATCAATGAAACTCATGACTTCCTGTGGATTTTTCCCATTAAAATTGACCATTAAAGGGGAAGGCAGGTGAAAAATCTGCTGGAAGACACAAGAGATAAGCCCACAATAAATACTACATGAACCATCAAGAAAGCTTGCTCTGCTCAGGATAATAAAAAAAAGCGTAAATGCGTGTGTTATATATATATATATAAATAGCCTTCCTCAGCCACTTTGAAAAAGGAGTACTTTCTCGCCAGTGTTACTATTCCAGTGGTGCGACTGTAGATTTACATCTATTTACTAGAGTAACACCATCACTAACATCGTAGAACAAAACAAAGGAGGAAGTAAGTTTGATAAATATTGAGAAATAGATCAAATAACATATATGATAAGATGAAACGTCATACGTATGCAGGTAGAACCTCATTATGTTACAGAATGCTGTACCAGCAGGACACTTGGCAGCAGCAAGGGCTGAACTTGTGATCTTTCAGTGTGTCATGTTGCTCTCTAACTGTTTGTCCCCTTGCTGTCCATGCATTAAAGCTCTGCTCGGAGAAATGGCATAGCTCCCTCTGAGCTCCTGCGCTCTATAAAGCATTCACTTAGAATGTCAGGGCTCATTTACTATGCCATATGTTCTTTTTGATAAATGGATTGATACATACAGTGCATAGTGACCCACAGCAAGAGGTCTTGGTCTTTGGTTGTACTTTCTTTGAGGCACAGAGCAAAAGTATCTCATTTAATACCAGTGTTACCAAATATAGCATTTGTAAGGCCATGATATTGCTCCACAAAATGGCAAGTGGCACAAAAGCACCAGTGATATTAGAGAAATTTATTACTTCTAGCAAAAACCCTTTGAGATCTATCATCTCATTTTCAAGGGGGACCCACAACGGCCAGAGGTGAAAGAAAAAGGACATTATGGCTGCAGTCTAAAATTAGAGGAAGAAATCTAAGTGATCCACACAGTGCAATGAGTACTAATCCACTAAATAGCTAGGCTTTAACAAGACTTATTATACAATCAAATATTAACTTTATCAACCACTGTCTATATATATATATATATATATATATAGATATAGACAGAGAGAGAGAGAGAGAGAGAGAGAGAGAGATTTGTTCCAAGATTAATTTCATTCTTACTCAAAAGAATATAAGAATATCATGACCATGTCCTTCTGACCTTAGTAGTGAATTAACAAATGATCAATATTTCATTTCATTTTTAATATACCACCATGCATTTTTTTCCTAAACAATTCTAATAATAACCATAGTAATTTTGGGCTAAAATTACTTTTAGTAAGAGCAAGAGCTTCACAACTTCTCCATGGAAAAGCCTGTCTGTGAATTCCTTCATCCATCTTATAGTCAGTTTTCATAATATATTTATGTTTTTGTTTATTAAGTAAAAATCTCCCCATTAACTATCTTCCCTCACTTGTGTACACTTTCTGTTGCGATGCTGTCCTCAGGGTATGACTAGTTAAAGATCCAGCATGTCCACACACCCTAAGGACAAATAAAATCATTCTTTTGGCCACAAGCTTTACTGTAGAGAGCAAGAGCATTATATAATTTCTCTTTGGACATTTAAAGCATTCAGCTCAATGACAGTGGTTTATAATATGCATTTCTGAGTGCTGTGTGGGCAGAGAATGAAAGAGTCTCAGTATGGTCACATTTAGGTTTCAATAAAAGGTGTACACATACTTCTCACTTGAAACAATGCGACAAAAATGGCATTAATATAATAAACTGTATTAATGAAATCATCATTAGACTGACTCTGTGAGAGCTCTGTAGAGAAGAATGTGACTCTCAGGCGCTGGTTTGTTTGCAGGCTAGCCAGGTTAGTAAACAAGACTGTGCAATGTGCTGTTTTCAACAGTTTACAGACTGTTACCTCTCGCTGCCTTTTAGAGCCACCACTGAATAACAGAACTGCTCACTCTTCCATCCCTCTGCCAGCCAGCTATTAAAATACATCCTGTCAGTATCACTTGAACAGCTGTCAAATGTTTCACTCAGTGTCTCTGAATGTACCATGTAACAGTTAAGAAGCATATAATATGAATGTGTTAAAGTTAGTAGGTCTCGCCCACACACCAAACTACACATGTGCACACATAAGCAAAGTCTTGTGTACTCTCACACATCGCAGGCAAACATGCAAATATAAGCTTTCAACCTGCTATTCCTCTCACATTCATTCCTTCATACTCTGTACTGCATTTCCCTTTGGCAGGATGCAGGAGACCCCTGTGGTGAGTTTAAATGCCATTTTTTGTCGGTGCTATTGAGGTTCAATTTAAAAAAAGAACTGCAGAGCAATGCTAGTTATCATAATGCAACAGCCTCAAAATGTTTCTGTGACACTGAAAAGGAGAAAAATGTAAATGTCAGAAATTTTTTTTTTAAGCAGTGCTCAGATGCACGGATAAGATGGATGCCTTTCCTGGTATGAGTTCTCTTCTTATTTTCAGGTAACAAATGTGGGCCTGAAATATGTTTGATTAGTCTTTTCCAAAACACATCCATACAAATGCTTTGTAAGGAAAGTTACAGATAAGTGTATGTTTACCAACAACCCATTTAGCTTTATCACTATGTCACGGTAATTTTGTAAGAGCAAACATAGTTATTTACCCAAACTGGATATCTCATTTAATTTGTTCACTCACATAGCACTATTGGTGCTCTCTGTTGCTGTCATACAATACAGTACAGTAGAAGTTGGGACATCAATTCAGTACACATGCTTAAAGCATTTGAATCAAATTTTTAGCCATAAACAGTATCAATTTTATTTACCACCTAACTTCAAACTCTCTTGATGAAAACACAGGTCTTCAGACATCCTCCGAAACTTTGCAGCTTTAAACTCAAATACACTATCTGAGGACAACAAAATACTTTTAAGGAGTGGTAATATATCTGTTTTGTCACTTGCTGTTTCATTTCAGGGATACAGCATATATTTCATCTGATTGCAGTAAGTAATAGAAAAAATGTGCAGCCAATTCTATCTGTTTTTGTGCCTTTCAGGGTATTTCTGATGCAAGTGTCTAAAATGTTCTTTGGGGGAATGCAAATCTGCATTTGTTTTTCTGATGTATCACAGTGAGGTACTTGTTAACTGGTACATTTTTAGTACATGCCCCAGCACACAAGCACACAAAGGTGTGTGATCCTTTGATCCCCAAAAATATGCAACTGAGAGTGAGTAATTGATTCCCTGCTCAGTGTAAGAGCTCCCTCAGTATGCTCCGTGCTTAAGTATGAACATATGCAAACCTGTGTATGTGTAAACCACGTATGTGTGTGTGTGAATACATACTCTGTATGTAATGAATGTGAGGAAGGTGCTTATAGTCATGGCTATAGATCATTGTATAGTGACCTTCTCAATGACAGTAATGGAATAACAGAATGAGACAGGAACCAATTATGATGTAAATTAAGGTGGTTATTTACATCATGTATACCCTCGACGGGTGGTGAGGATTCATCTTTGCTCCTATTGTTTTACTTGCAGTGTTTGATGTGCTGCCATATAATAGGCAGTGTGATGTATTCCCTACAGTGGTAGGCTACTGCAAAAAGGCATTGTTAGTGTGGGACATTCTGAGCTCCTTTGACTGGCCAAGCCCCCCCACAGTTTAATTTACTAAACAACATATGTCTCTACCCGTGTGGGATTATGATATTAGCAGGACATGGACAAGTGAGAAAGAGAAGAGACAAAGAATGAGATGTGCCTGGAAAGGTGTAGGGAGTACGTAGCTGGAGATGAAGCCTTTATGAGTTGTTCAGTGTGTTCCCAGAATACTGACCCGCCCACAGACTTGTCTTTTTTCAGATTCGTAGAATATCCCCAGAGACAGGTGTGCAAATGTGTGCAAGCAATCCCTCTCCCTACCCATCTCCCTCTCTCTCTCTGTCTCTTTCTTTCTCTTTTGACTTACCTCCCTCGCACCAACCTCCGAGAAAAAAAAAAAAAAACACAGCAGGACAGAAACGAAAGCCACATTGTACACAGAGCGCAGTTTGGCAGACCCCAAATGAGAGACTCAGGAAGGTTGGTTATGATAAGAGGATCAGGCTGAGTAATGGGTTCAAAGGATGATCATCTGTTTCCTGGTCTGCCGATATAGGGGGAGAGGAAAAAAGAGACACAGAGGCATGGAGGGGGTTTGCACATCCCATCTGCAAAACATAGGATTATGAGAGACAATAGATGAATCCACCAAAGAATTCCTAGGGAAATGTGCAAACAAATCTGTGCAGACAAATGTGTGCAGATACTGTACATGAAAAAACATGTGGAATGACACAGCCACATTCAAACAGTGCATGGAGAGCAATAGCACTCCCACACCTTGGAAGCGTCAGCATAATAACCTTGGATTGTGTTGGTAAAAAAAATTTTTTTTATCAGATTAAATGTCGTTTGTCCATTGCATGTTTATTTACCTCCTCCTGGGAGAAGAAAAAACGGCAGATATGCGTAATTGAAATTTGCTTTTCTAAGCTTAGAAGAGCAACATTGTTTAATGACAGCATGTGTGGCATAATATTTGCCGGCTTATATTCAAGGAATCCATTTTATTACAGGACCATCTCCTCAATATACAAAGTGCGCTTAGGCCCCCAGCGGCCACAGTGCATTGA